TAACACAACCTAGTTCGTAGTTCGTCTCAAAGCGGTTCACAAATTATTATCCGTGGTTAAAGGGCCTTTGCAACCAGCCAATATCTTTCTCAACTTCCTGGGGAGCATACAGCCGGTGCTGCCATTTCGGCGCTCACAGCTAGCATTCTACAATTCTAGCACTACCCAACCACGTACTCATTTACAGTTAAGAAGACTGGAACAAGCGGAGTAAAGTATCTTGCTGAAAGATACAACATAGTGCCGCGCCGTGACTCGAACCCGCAACCCTTCCCTCCTGTAGCCCGGCGTCCTATCACTAGACTACCGTGCCTCCGTACCAGCTATTCCATCATTGTTTACATGAAATGCTACATTTTAGCGTTTTTTGTCTGTTGTAACTAAAGCTTGTAAATAATGATAATGATCTTATGAAGGGTTTGTATAGGCACTGTTTCGTATTCGCTGTATATATTCCAAAACACTTCATCCATAGATTTCCCATTTCATTCTTTTGACCTTTCAAACTACTGCTTTGCCCTTTTTGCTGTTCTACTTTTTGCTTCAGACAACTTCGGACATGGTTGTTACGTTTTACACTGGGTTCAGTCCTTAGTATTTCTTATGATTCACTTTAGTGGGGTTATATATTGTTCAACTGTTGGTAGTTTGTTTAAGATTCAATGACTTGGTCGCAGGTTCGGGGCCTACCTTTGGGCAGTCTTCTGGATTTCGGGTACTCTGGTTTTCTTCCACCACCAAAACCTTGCACGTCCGTAAATGACCCAAAACTGTTAATGGGACGTAAAAACACAAAACGAACCAAACGATAAGTTGTATCGGTCTATTTATTCAGTGAAACATGTTAGGTGATGGGTATGCATAATTTGATTTAAGACATAGACAAGCCAGAAAGGAGGATGGTTAAGAAATTCCAGTAGGTGTTGATATATGTGATGGTCCCTACACAGAAGACATAATTAACCCTGACTAGGTAGCCTCAGGGAAAGAATAAACACTATGGTCAATAGGTTATAAATGTCGTGATAGATTTGTACCGAATGATGGTCAATACAGATCTGTCCTGGTGACGGTCAGTATTTGACCGTTAAACTACAAGTCAGCGGTAAACACATCGCTGACGTATTATGAGTAAGATGTGAAATACGTGGAATCTGAGATTTGTTTGTTTGTTTATTGTTTTACGTCGTTGCTATATAGTATAGTATATTGGCGATACACTCGGAATAACAACACTACTTTAAGCGTACCTGTATCGTTGTCCCCGCATTCCCACCAATCGATGACAATTTTAATTGGAACGCAATATTCTAATCTATTGTTCGTTACATTTTTTGGATCGTCTATTTTATTAACGATATAACAAGATGGTGCAGTAACATTTACTTTAAATTTTTGCATCAACTTTCTGAACCATTAACAGTATTGTCGTTACTTCGTATTTCTAATTGAGTATTTTACGTAGCAAGATGGTTTGCTCTGCGTGTAAACAGAAATTACACGAAGCTGTCCTTAGCCCTCTAGCTAGAATTTGTTCTAACACGATTTACAAGAAATAGTACTTTTTTAATATTTTTTCTATGACGGTCCATTTTTGTAAATGTTGAAAACAATTTTGTAGAAATCTTTCCCCTTTTGCTGTTTTCAACAAATGTATAGTAGCACTTTAGACACATCGTTTTCTCACTCGTTTAATCATGGGCATCAATGGAGTAATACCTTGGCGACTGACCCTGTGATGCAGTAAAAATGTTCACGTTGTTGGTTTTCTGCATCAACGCACTAATTTCTTAATTACAGTAGGTGCTTCCCTATTACGAGCCCAATTAGAGTACTGAACAGAGTATGACACGAAGCTGTGTACGCCTTAATCATATAATACGTGCCTGATACAATCCTAACAGGAGTAGCAGACGTTGTGGTAAATCGTTAAGACTAGCGCGTGACTCTGTTTAACCATGTGATGTTTGTAGTGCAAAAGAAGTGTCTACATGAACACATAATCATTCATTGATGTATGATGACCATGGAATCTGTATAAAATAATAACGTCCTATCAATATGCTACAGAAAGTACTTGTACAATACCACATGTGATTGATCTGTCGTGGTCTTATAACCACAACAATGACATTACTCGTCAATGAACATTGGTACAAGAATTCGCGTGATTTCCTGTAATATAACGTGAGCGTGGTGATAGGTGGAATTACATGAAACTGTGATTCACGCCATTTTGTTTCTGTTATTATGTTGTTGTTTTTGAATTTTTCTCTTCATTATTTTTTTGATCAACATACATAGTTTTAAAAATGAAACAATGATAACAGTTGTATTTGATTAGTTACCCCGCATTCTGTAATGTAAACGCATTAAACCATTCATTTTTTGGAAGGAATCTGGATAATTGAATCAGTTATGTTTGTTTTTTTAGTGAAATATATTTCATCAAAACATTTGTTTCAAAGATTGTTGCTGTACACATTTCGACTAATCTGTCTGAGTGTGCTGCTGTTGATGATATACTGGTGTATTTGCACAAAGACAGAACACGCAATATAAGACTGAAGTCAAAACACACACATGTCTAACATAGTCAACGTCTAAGCGTTTTCATGACGCATAAAGATGGCATACATCTTTTAGATTACAAAATGTCATCTATGATACTGAATGTGTATATGAAAAATAGTTACAAGTTGAGATATTATACGAGAAGTCTATTACAAACACGAGCGTTGAAAAGTTTTCCGTGAACTCCTTCCAGACGTATGGTATTATTCTCTACCTATTTACTACTGTATGCTGTATACCGTATTTGTTAAACCATGGAAATAAAACAATAAATAAGAAAAGGGCCAGGTCAGACACATTGTTAAACATAACAAAGCCCATTTTGTGTAGATAAAGACTTTTTGGGACAGTGCAGCGCTGCTCGTTATTCTGCCGCAGGCTATAAAGTAGGTCGTCAGTGGTAATAACAGTTTACTCCGCGATGTCAAAAAGTTCCTGCGTCTTAAATTGTTTTTTTAATGTTTGCCAGACGCTGACCTCTCTCATACCTCAAGACAGGATTAATTGTCCATTTTATGAAAACTTCTATTTTCAGCCGGACGTCGTGACAATGTTAAAGTATGATGTACAAGTGTATTGTCCTGTCACGAACAATGGGAATGCTCGCGTTAGAAACGACGGCATGATCTAAAGTATAAACAGCTTTTTCAGAAGCGTATCGTAGCATATCTATCAACTTGTAGTACAAATATTCAGGTTTTTAGTCTGACAAATTGTTATTAACTAAACGTGAAATATGATCCACAAATTAATATTTTATCTTTAGTGTGTATAGTATACATAGTACTTTTACTATGCTTTACATCACAACGATGAGCGTCGCAATGTATGGGATACAAACATGGTGCTGTATGGTAGCACGCTTTCAAAGATGTTAATATAAGATGCAATTTATACTTGTTGTTTACTTTCGAAGATTAGAAAAGGTCTGGTTTGACTTCATACGACCTCAATATATTTAAGAAATAGACAATAATGAGAGATACAATAGATTACTTACACTTAATAAAGCGTACATTCGTATTTAGAAACAAGTCTAATTTTTCAGGCAATCATACATTGAAAACAGTGAGACATACACGGTAGCAAAATGCAAAATTAAAGGTTGTGTGAAAAAATACGGAAATGTCAGACCTAGCGGAATAAGTATGCGTTAGATATTGGTAGCTGAGAGTGAGATATTAGCATCGTACTCTACAAATAAAAATGTATTAATCGAGCATATACTAAAATAAAGAATTAAAACGTTATCAAATCATCATCAAAACATTATTTCTATACTATTACATGTAAACACTAAGAAATACCACCGCAATGAATATCAAAATAGTATCAAAACGATATCAAGTTTATAAACCCTTTCACCCCTTATGAAACTTTAGTAAACTCTTCCATGCATTAATCTGGATGAGTCTATTATGGTCTACAATGGTGAAAGGGTTTAAGTACAACGTGACATACACAATCGTAGCATTATCTAAATGGTATACGAATACAGTTGACTCGATATCAAAACTGTCAAAACAATATCCGCATACACACTGCAGTGTGATGATAAAGAAATGTATGTTAAATTTGCATTTGGGCTCTTTTTTTAACTGTTTTGTTTTTGCGTCCAGTTCTTTGCAGAAATAAAATATTTCATCGATCGCACGTGTAAGATATACGTGTATTGTCAAGAACAACCATTGCCATTTAATCTCCACACTAACAGCAGTGTATGTGACAAGCCTCGAGCTGACAGTTGTTGTCATGTGACTTACAAAAAATACGGTCCGTTTTATGATAATTTTACTGCATATCAAATAGCAGGGTTAATTTGGGTACTCATTATCAATTATTACATGGCTTTATCTAATTAGTCATAGGTGTCAAGGTTAATATCAAACATCACCACTGATGATAATAAATGACAAATATACCTTAGACGAAAATTAATTAACATACAACAGAGATATGTCTGATATGTGTAACAACGATTTACCTTGTGGATCTGTGAGAGCATCAGTAGCTTAATTTAGATATAAATAAAAATCTGTCTTAATTTTATTTATAATATGCATGTACGTATTACTGTAAATAAGATAAATATCTGCGTTAGGTGTAGTGTTAATTAAACTAAAATGTTCGCTGTGAGATTATCAGTTATCTGCTAGAAAAAGACGTAATTTGAACTCAAGATCGTTAAAACTAAGGCAAAATTTGAACAAAGCAATATTTAAATGGAGACTCTTGAAAAGGAACAAGGATATTAAGACCAGGTGCTCCGGAATACTAAGCGCCCCCTCTTCATCGACGAGACTCGCCACATAAATCTAGTGGATACAATTAAGTCGATAAAATTAGTACAATTCATGCAATGTAACAAAGAATTTGATTAAACAGAGTTTAAACCGAATAATATATTAATTATTTTGATTTTCCAGTACCAGTGGCAGAGCAATAAAGGTCGTTGTGGAGTATGTGGTGATCCAGCTGATGTTGATCCTAAACCGAACGAGGACATACACCAATACGCCAAGGGGATTATAGTACAGAGATATTTAACAAGTGACAAATTCATTGACGTCACTATTGAAGTTAAGAAAAACATGTTAGGATATTTTGAGTTTCGTCTTTGCCCGGATGTAAGTGAAACAAGACCAGTAACTCAAAAATGTCTTGATCAACATCCACTGGATATAAGTGGTCACGGGAAACGATACAGACCGGATAGAGAGGGAAATATATTTCTAAAACTGAACATTCCTAAGGAAGTAACTTGTGAACATTGCGTTCTGCAGTGGAAATGGCATACTGGTAAGTAATCCTTTGTTTGTGTAAATTGTTTGCTGATTGCTGTTTTAATTGATTGTTTAATTGATTGATTGATTGATTGATTGATTTCAACGACTTCTTCATATCAACAAATAAAATCAACGATATTGACATAACACTCACTGGTGATCAAGTCGAGTTCGAGATCTACGAGTTATCAAGTTTAGTTAGAGATCAACGAGTTATCAATTCGAGTTAGAGAACAAGTCTGGCTAGAGAGCAACGAGTTATCAAGTCGAGTTTTACGTGCACTTTGACGAGATAGAAATTTTTCCACCACAGTAGGTGACATTCCTACACTGCTTCTTTCTATTTATAGCCATTTCACACCTCCTCAGTGATTTCTATGTGAAGTAGCCAGTGGCTATTCTTGTTTTATTTTTTCGACGATATTAATTTTCTACCTTGACAATTCAGGTTACTACAATCATTCATATCTATTCGTGATTTTCACAAAAATGACGCATTTTCAATAACACTTTATATACTGTATAAATGATTACCCAAATCAACACGCACATAAAGGAAAAGGAACCCCGCCCGTCGGACCGGTTTTATTCTATGGTACTACGTACCTGTTGTCTATTACAGTGACATTTTAACTTTTGCGCGAAACACGTGTGAAATACGTTAACCGCAGAGTTAAGTACACATGTTATTGTTATATAGTATCGATAGTGTAGAGTTAGTGTATAGCCCTCTCACGTGAACTTTCGTTTTCCCCTTCGTTATCACGTGATGACCTTGTCAATAATGTCCAATGCACCTAAAGTGAGCGATGGCTTTCATCGGTCATTGCTACATATGCAAGGTCAACTACAACTGAAAGGTCAATTCCGTGACCATGTCCCCTAGGTGCGGTCAAAAGTTTAAACATTAGACAATAAATGTTGTCTTTAACTATGTCTGCTTATTCGCATATCGAATGAATAACCAGTATAACTGTATACACAACCAAAGGTTGACAACCCGTCCTACCTAAAATCCTGGGGGCACCGGCTCAGAGAGTTTGACATTTTCACCGGACGTTTTATGCTTGCGTATACAAACATGGAATACTGTCCTTGAATATAAACATGTTCTGAAAATTAATAATTGTGACAATATGATATGAAATCAATTCAAATCTCAAACATATCTATAACGTTTAATATCAAAAGTATTTGTTACATTGTAACATATTTTGCAGCTGTTTTGATTGCATGAATTCTGTGGATGAAGTCACAATCTCAGCGACTCAGACAAAGACGACGAAAGTCCGCGGCAACATCTTTGTCTACTGTGCTCATTAGTGTGCTTTGTTGTTGTGTCGTCAATATCCCAGTCCGGGCTTAGTATAGACGTAGATTCACATGTCGTCAATATCCCAGTCCGGGCTTAGTATAGACGTAGGTTCATGTGTTGTCAATATCCCAGCCCGGGCTTAGTATAGACGTAGGTTCATGTGTTGTCAATATCCCAATCTGGGCTTAGTATAGACGTAGGTTCACATGTCGTCAATATCCCAGTCCGGGCTTAGGATAGACGTAGGTTCATGTGTTGTCAATATCCCAGTCCGGGCTTAGTATAGACGTAGGTTCACATGTCGTCACTATCCCAGCCCGGGCTTAGTATAGCCGTAGGTTCATGTGTTGTCAATATCCCAGTCCGGGCTTAGTATAGGCGTAGGTTCATGTGTTGTCAATATCCCTATCTGGGCTTAGTATAGACGTAGGTTCATATGTCGTCAATATCCCAGTCCGGGCTTGGTATAGACGTAGGTTCATGTGTCGTCAATATCCCAGTCCGGGCTTAGTATAGACGTGGGTTCAAGTTACATTTTTAAATGTACTGGAGTGTATAAATGATCTCAACCCTTGAGATTTCGTCAAGTCTAAGATTTCCTATCGACAACACATTGCTTGAGATTTCGTCAAGTCTAAGATTTCCTATCGACAATACATTGCTTGAGATTTCGTCTAGTCTAAGATTTCCCATAGACAATACATTGCTTGCGATTTCGTTTAGTCTAAGATTTCCCATAGACAATACATTGCTTGAGATTTCGTCTTGTCCAAGATTTCCCATAGACAATACTTTGCTTGAGATTTCGTCTGGTGTAAGATTTCCCATAGACAATACATTGCTTGAGATTTTCCCCAACTTTGAGATAGTTTATAAAAGTGACCCAAATATCACATTTGTATTTTTTCGCGGAAAAGGATGCTTATTTTTTCATATACATACTGCTATCACCATGTCTATTAATCTTCTTATCGAGGTGTACATTATTTTTGTTAGTCACCTATATATGTCTATTGTTTTCAGTTTCCCATGTAAATCATCTGAAGTTGCTATCCGCATAGTACAAAAAGCGTTGAAACTGTCAACAGTGACCATCTACCACGTACTGTGATGACATGACATTGTAAAATGTCAGTATTGTCCTTCTAAATGTACTGTGGTGACAATATACTGTCAGAAACCGTGTCACCAGGTCACACCAACAGCCGGTATAATTTGAAGCTATGTTGCGGATTTAGCCATATTTCATATATATTGGGTCAGATCGTAGCATTACCTGCATTATAAAGCTGTCATGTTCCCATTTAATAAATTTATTGCGACATCTAAGCTGTTTAAGCATGAATACAATAACGGTATTTCCTTGACAGGGAATTTTATAAATGCCTTTTCAGTTTGCATGATATACACGTTGACTTTACAATGCGATTGCGTATCCAAAGGTACTGATATATTAAATATTATGAGTAATGCATTTATGCACCTGCGTTAAATAGTGTTGCTTTCACATTACATCCCACTATTATATAGCATTTTATATCATTGTTACCATCGATAAATGTATGTACTACATTACGACAGTATAAAAGAAAGAGATTCATTTTGTCATTCGAAATATAAAGATATTCAGTTTAACTCGTAATCTTTATTGTTTTTTTAAATACTAGTCATTTGCAAATATGACAAAATATATAATCAAATTTGGAATTATTTCATTAACCTTAAATAATATATATATTATTTACCTAACACAATAGGCCATCAAACTTGTTTATTATAGGAATTCCTGTAATTATGACAGTATCGATATATTTATTTAAGATTTTAGGCGTTTTCATTTCAATTAATGTAAACTATATTTCAATTGACCGACATAATGGCATAACAAATGTGATCGGTAAGTTTGTAGAAATGGTGATTGGTCAGGTCTGAAGGACACATGTCCAGTGATTGGTCAGTTCTGACGGACACATGTCCAGTGTTTTGTAACACCTGCTCATAGATGGGTGTCATGTTTCAGTCATGGTGTCAGGTGGTCAAATAATTCATGGTTCGTCAGTTGTCCAAGAGTCCAGCTCACACTGATCTCACCGACCTACACAAAGTATATCAGTCAGAATTACTATCGCCATAGTGATACGGGTTTACATAAATTGACATAACATTAGAAATATCAATATATACCAAATACATTTAATAATATTTGTCGACTTAAAAGTAAACATTGGATGAAAATGATATGAAATGTGTAATTCATGTGTGAGACATAAACTCATCACACGCAAAAACTACAAAACTTAATTGACTTTGTTCTTGAAACGTTGCATTTTTTCCACGTAAGAACTATAAGTCATAGTGAAATTACACGAACCACAACCAAACGCTTTAATAACCTAAGCGAAGATAAATACCTATGTTTATAGTATATCAAGCTTGAAGTTGACCTAAGTTGACCCTAGTTTACCCTCCTAGACATTGAAAGTCTGGCTACATACAATTTGACTCACCATGGACCTGCACTTACTTGTTGATTGATATTTAGTGCAACAGCGTCACGTATAATCACCATATAGTACTGTATTACTACGCTCACTGCTATCGTTATATGTGTATGTATGTATTCCAAGGTAAAGATAAAAATGTCAACGGAATGATGAGATTATGTGACAATCATTGCCAGAATACCGATATTGAATGATGTTATCATGTGCGATTAAAGGTTAGCTATATACATGAATCCTGATAATGTTTTAGTCACGCAACTCTATGAACTACATGGTCACTCATATTTAATACATATAAATCCCATTTTCCTTTCTAGACACTCTTGCAAACCTATTAAATCAAGTAAACCTACTATTCCATGTCACATGATCAAGTAAACCTACTTTTCCAATTCCCATGATCAGGTAAACCTACTATTCCATGTCACATAACCAGGTAAACCTACTATTCCATGTCACATGATCAGTTAAACCTACTATTCCATGTCACATGATCAGGTAAACCTACTATTCCTTGTCACATCTCGACTCTGTTATTTCCGTTTCCGTTTCTTTTTGTTTTGGTGTCTTCTCGGTTATAAGACTTGAACTTTGCGTCGTATTCCCAAACAATCACCAATAAACTATAAACCAAGTCGTTTAAACAGCTGTAAAACAAAGGCACGTTTATGAAGAATTACAAATGGGGCTATCTTCATGGAAAAATATCCATAACTCTATGTTAAAAGTTCTTCGAGGTTTAGGTGAATACTTTATGCATCTGTATCAATTATTTACATCTATTGAACTCACTGCCCATACATAATATCATGTATTGAATATAATTATATTTACTAGTCACTAATGAGACCTAACGTTTCATATGTTTCAGCAATGAACTGGGGAATATGTAAAGACAAAAGTAGCGGGCTCGGATGTGGAGATCAGGAGGAGTTATATAACTGTGCCGACATTAGTATCACTTCCGGTTCGTCACGTGCAGGAATAGATGCCCAGATTGACTCATTAAAGTATACACTTCCTAGTCAGTTATCTGAAATCGATACTAATGTTGAAACGAGCATAAACAGACAGCCCAGCGTGAATACGAATACGGAGGTTCAGATGAAAATCGAAAACTTTAAAATTAATCCTGACACAACCTTGAAAACAGAAACAAAACCAACAATTATCAATCAGCAGATTGCCACAACGACGGGTGAACCCGCACCTTTAGTTACAAATAAACTTATCAATCAGCAGATTGCTACAACGACGGGTGAACCCGCACCTTTAGTTACAAATAAACTTATCAATCAGCAGATTACCCCAACGACGGGTGAACCCGCACCATTAGTTACAAATAAACTTATCAATCAGCAGATTACCACAACGACGGATGAACCAGCACCTTTAGTTACAAATAAACCAAGTTCAGCTGCATTTGAAAGTAGTCCTTCTCTTGAACTTTCTCCAGATCCCAAACCGGCCGTTGTTTTTACCGGAACCTACTCGACCATTGGGGATATGAACAGCACGTCAACGGAGGGGAAACACGTGAATTTGCCAGACAGTACGTTAGTAGGTAGTACAGGATCATATAGTAATACAGTACCTTCTGACAAACCAACACCTGTAAAATACGTGACTGTCACAGAACCGGCGATTGTAGAGTCAACATCCGCTGGGAGTGTCAGTCCAATTTTCGAATTCAATGACAAAATACCTGCCGATAAAATGGCGAACAGGATGGCGAACTCTCAAGTTCAGGTGCAAAAGGATATGGACCCTTCCTTTACCGCGCCTCCAGTCAACATCCAGGCAGATCCCGCTGCCAAGACGACTGGATCCGCTGACATAATTCAACTTCCGTTTGTTGGTGACACAACACGTCCTGCTGAGAAAAACAATCAATCAGAGAGTGGTATGAATGGGGCTAACATGAAACAAAAAACTGCGCAGGGTCGTACAGTGAGAAGTGTAATACAAAGAACAACGTCCAGTAGTAGACCGTCAGATGGCTGGACACCGTTAATGGACAGTGATATGGGATCTGGTCCCGCTGGTATCCATAGTAACAATCGACCGGCGGGACCTAACAGACAGAAGCAGGCACCCGGAGGTAACATTATTCCAGGGGACCAGGCTTTTAGCGTAGGCATGCCGTCTAGTTTCAATAAAAATTCTGGACGGGTTGGCAGTACCTCGCTCTGGCAAGGAGCCATGTCTAATAATCAAGGGGAAGTTGGAGGTGTATCGCTTTCGTCTACTTCACGTCTTGCGATGGTAAAAAAATCTAAAGTTAATCCAGTTGCAAACAAAATGGTGAACTCTAACTCGAATAACCAATATGACCGCAGCAAGGCTTCTGGATTTACTGTTAATGCTCCAAATACCAAACAGTCTACACCTTCACAAAAGCTTGGAGAGGCATTGGGCAAAGATGGACGAGCTACTTTTATGCCAAATATGAATAATAACGATGCTAGAAGGATTTCGGAACAACAAAATATTAACTCGGTACAAGCAAATACTAACAACAACAACAACAACAACAACAACAATAGTAACGTTGGCGGTTTAAGCCAAGGAAGAAACTCAATGTCACCATTTAGCAATTTCGATGGTCAATCTGTACCTTTACGTAATTCTGGTTCCACCCTGGGATCGCAGTACCGAGGCAATAGTTTATCAAGCTTTTCGACACCAAATATGGGATCAGATGGATCCATCCTTCTACAAACTATTCCATCAGATACTGTTATCGACGCCGTCGCTGGAAACACGTTATCTGCACAGGGAACATTGGCATCTGCAAGATACCTTGAACAGGCCCGTCAGTCCGAACGGTATACTCCTCCCCCGCCAAGTACACCTCGGCCGGGTCCTGTGGCTACTAAGCTTCTGACACGCCACCCTGGTCTTAATGAAATGAATCATTTTGGCTCGATGCTGGCGTCAGCTGTAATAGTCGATCCTATACCGGATACAACTACCACAACAACTCAGCCGACAACCACAACTACGCCAACCACAACAACGCCAACCACAACTACGCCAACCACCACCACGATAACTCCCGCCCCAACAACTACCACTACCGAGGCTACTACTACAACTACAACCGAACCTACAACTACCACAGAACCTACAACCACAACAACTGCCGAACCGACTACCACGCAACCGACCAGTACAGTAGAACCAAATCTTAGTTTACGTCTGGGAATGGGACTTCCGGCAGGTTTCGTGGTAAACAACCCAACAGAAACAACAACGACGACACAAACACCAACAACTACTTCACAGATACCTATGGAGTCATCCAGTGTAACAGCTGCAGCAAATACAGATGCTGATCTGTCAGGAATACTGAGAGAAATAATGGCGATGGCAAACCGTGTGTCGGCACTGGCTAAGAGCACACAGCAGACTGGAGCTGATGTTCTTGCACAGAACATAAAAGCGATGGCTGAAACAGCAGCTAATACCAATATGCAGATGAAACCGGAAATGCCAATACCTACAACGATGAAACAAGACACCACACAACTTGCAGAGGAGGTCACTACTCAGCAACAAGCCATTACAATACGTAAGGTTGTCGGCACAACAATAAAAGCACAAACAAAAGCTGATGCACTCATTACAAACCGCGTGAGCGATATTTTGCCTGAAGCACAAAAGTCCACAGCGGCTACTTCTATTGTGACGGAACCATCAGTCACCGAACCTGCTGTCATAGTAACGGAACCTTCAACTATTGTCACCGAGCCAACAACTGTTGTTACGGAACCTCCTGTTGTTGACACTGAGCCTGCTGTCGTAGTTACGGAACCGACAACTGTTGTTACGGAACCTCCTGTTGTTGACACTGAGCCTGCTGTTGTAATAACGGAACCTTCAACTGTTATTACCAATCTTTCAGTTGTAGCTGAACAGGCAACCTCCAGACCTCTTGTCCCTATGACAACTCCGTATATGCCAATCAATCCATTCACAACCGGAGCAGACCCGTTCTTTATCCCACAAACAACAGTTAACCCATGGAATACGTTCGGACAGAACGCTCAAAATCAACAATATGCCATCGACGGTTTTGGTGCTGGTACCGATGTCTCTGGTACCAATCCACAGGTCGTAGAAATGAATCCACATTTAGGAGGCACTGCTGGTCTTGATGCAGGCTATGTTAATCCTGATTTAGTATCTGCTGATTCCGTTTCCGGTGCATCAGGGCAGCCTGCAGGTATGACTGGCATGAACAATCCAGCGTCTATGATAAATGCACTGACATCAATGCAGGCGGGTGGAGGAGGTAATACCAATATCCTCTTAGCAAATATGTTTAGAATTCTGTCTGATCTTATGACTCAAACGAGTGCACAAGCAGTAAACATGGGCGGGTCTATGCAACCCGCAATACCAAACGTAGAATCTACTGTCACTAGATCATCCCAGTCGGGCGATCAGATCCCGACGGATTCACAGACGATCGTTGTAGATCCAAGTACGGTTAGTGTGGATATGTCTCAGTACTTCACCGGTTCGGGCGATCAAGGCACCCAGCCTTCTGACGCTACAGGCGGCTTTACTCTAACGACACAAGCAGTACCAGTAACAACCACAACAATTTCATCTACAACAACAACAACTCCAACGACAACTACAACAACTCAAATGCCAAGCACAACAACTACAACAACTCTAAAGCCAACAACAACAACAACTAAAAAAACAACTACAACAACTCCAACGACAACAACAACAACAACAACTCGAAAGCCTACGACGACAACTCAAAAGACAACTACGACAACTCCAACGACAACTACAACGACACCAACGACAACTACAACGACACCAACGACAACTACAACAACTCCAACGACAACTACAACGACACCAACGACAACTACGACAATTCCAACGACAACAACAACAACTCCAACAACTACTACGACTCCTACCACTACGACCACCACTACTCCTGTACCAACCACGCAAACCACTACGCCAATTCCCGTCACCGACGCTTTCTTAATCGGACTTAGCGCCGGAAGTCTATCAAACGGTGCCGTTATGGATAGGGTTCCAGCTAACAGACCTACGAATGTAGCCTTGAATCCGACTACGCCAGCAGGGAGTCAATGGGGTAACCCAGGTGTGACTCAAATGACTGGAAACCAATGGGGAAGTGGTGGGACAGGATCTGTTGGTGCTGCTACCGTCCAGGGTAGCCAATGGGGGCCTACCGTCCAGGGTAGCCAATGGGGGCCTGTGACTACAACTGTTGCACCACGGAGAACAAACTGGGTAGACACCACAACACTTCCACGGACACCAACCATGCAAACTACCTGGTACGTAGAGCCGACGACAATTGCAAATGTCACTCCTCCGCCTACTGCCACTCCAACAGCACCGATCAATACACCTGTCGATACTTGGAACGTACAGACCAACCCTCCAACTACGAAATCCGTTCCAGTCGAATTATCGGGACCGCCGTCGCACGCCACGACAATAGCAACAACATGGGACGCTGTCCTCCCTACCGGAAATCCTACGGGTACAACGAACGTGGCATCACAGACACCTTCGTCCACGTGGAATTCTGGAGGTTTGATTAATGGGCTTGCATCAGGAAGAAACAATCAGCTAACGTCTGGGCCTTTCGGAGATTTGTTTGGTACTACCCAGGCGCTTACGTCACCCCCGACCACTCAAACGCCGATTTCGACCACGCCCATTGTCCTAATTGATGTAAATGATCTCAGTCCACGCTCTGTTGACCCCGTGACACGAAATGTTATGCTGCGGTTGATCCGTTCAATGGCGACAACGAGCCAGGAACTGTACACAATCCTGTACGCAACTGGTCCGGACTTCATCAGTTCACTAGGAATAAATCCATTGCACCTTAAAGGTTCTGTTAATGTGGCTTTATTAAACATCCTACCAGAGCTACGTGTAGTTCTCGGACTCCCCCCTCCACCTCCACGGAGACGTGCGCCGCTCCCTTCTGGCTCGAGATTATCAACTGCACACGGTGCTGCTGCTTCAGTTTTTCCACCAGCAGGAGTAGTAGCCCCAACAAGGGCACCTCCAGTTGATCCTATTGAGATGGCTGTGCAGAATGCAATGACTGGTCAAATCCTCCAGATGTTGGGCTTAGCTCCTGAACCTCCAGATGTCCCTGCAGGTGGGCGGAGACGCGGAAGACGTCCTGGAATGCATCCAAGACGGTTTAGTCACGCAGGGATGGCTGTGCCTACTGTAGAACCAGCCGATGTCCCGCCAGGTGGTGTCGCACCGGGATTCCATCCGCAGAATCCGAACGGACAACGAGCAATGGGTCCACCTACAATGGACCAAATGTGGAACGTGGCAATGGCAGGAGGCTCTCCAGGTGCAATGGGAGGTGGAATGGGTGCGGGAATGGGAGGTGGAATGGGCGCTGCAATGGGCGGTTACAGACCTGTTTATGATCCATTAGACCCCCCAGATATTATTCCACCAGGTGCCGTTCCAATCGGGTCTCCAATGGCACGTGGTACAGGTGGCCGACGGGGCCCTCCTCCTGGGGGTATAGGGAGCATGAATGCTCAACAGACCCAGCAAGTTATGGAAATGCTAGGACTCTGATACTGAATCCAATGTATGTTTTGTTAATCTTTGTAAAGTTACTCCTCAACCTGAACACGATTGATAAGCTACAGATCAAACAATGTGGAAACCGTCAGTTCACCTCAGTTTAAACTGTGTCTGTAGCCATAGATACGAAATAACACCAAACTCATCTTTTTCTGTATCATTTAGCATTGATGATCCGATTTTGACTCAAAGTGAACAAGTTTCAAAATTTATTTTTAAGATTAGCCAAAGTATTCGTTCTTTACTGTTAGAATGACCAAATCAGATACAATCATGTATATAAACCTATAATGTAAAGGAAAAAACCCACATTGATATGAATTATATATCTGCTTATATGTAAACCGCAAACTTGATAACGCGCGAGCTACATTTAAGCTCCTACCGCGTAAATATAAAATTTACAATATATATTATTTATACAATCAATTAGAAATTATATCAATATTATGAAGAACATTGTTTTTCTGTCCTCATGTTTCGTTGTAAACCAGTTTTCCGTGAGGGCAGTGAAAGGTTCAGAGGAATCTTAGCTGATGTTCAGCGTTCTATTTATATACTTCATTCATTAAACGCTACAGGATATTAAGGGAAGAAAATGCATTCAAACAATTTTCTCGACCTCCCTTTATGATAAGATGTGATTTGTCGCTGCCAATAACGTAATTGGTGCTGTTATTTTCTTCTATGAATTTGCATAAAGAGGAAACGTCTCCTATCGTTTAATTGCGTGTTACACTTTGCTATAGCCTGCTTTGAAACTCCAGACAAAGGCATTATAGAAATAATTTAAAATTAGTCTTAGTAATGTGTTTTTTATTCCTTATTCCATTGGATTACGTGCTAAAATCACGAAGTTTACTGAAGTCTTTGAAAACTACTGCTTATCTGTTATTCCGTCTTTTCGTATTGCAGAGTTATCTGCTCCTGTGAGCAGGTATTGATTGTTTCGCCATTTGTTTGTGAGAGTAACGTCATCAAGTTTTGAGAAAACGGCGTAATTTTCTCAAACAAACCAATGACATAACAATCAATACCTGCTCACAAGAGAGGATAACTCGCAATACGCAAAGACGAAATATCTAGCAATAATGTTTTTTGCGCGACATTTTCTGTTTGATTTGTGTCGCTAACTGGTACCCCAGCGAAGTATTTGTAAAAGACAAAATCGTAGGTGATTCAAAGTTTAAGCTTAGAAGCCAAAACAATAAAACATGAGAAATTTGAAAGGCGCAACTTTGCCTGTTTGATAACACGGGATTAAAACGCCAAAGAAGAATCAGATTTTGCGACGGAGTCATGACTTTGCTGAACAACTAAAAATGTGACGTTTACCTTGGATTTCAATTGTTTTTTTTATAGCCAACTTGAGAATGGATTAAACGCTTTCGACTGAAAAATAATACTAGCATTTATTGGCCATGCTAATGGATTATAAAATTCAAGTTGTTGATTGTCTTCAGTCACTGTTTATTCAAAAGCACGGCAGCAATCCTGTGTAATTTCTAGTGTTTTTATGCGGGTAAATATCAGACAAATCAACCGGAGGAAAAACGGGCTTCTTTGAAATTACAAGGTATTGAATGGCTTTGTACAATATTTTACACAATACAACCGTCATTATCATTAACGTTACTGATGGATAATATGTGCATATTGTGGAACTATTTTGAATAGATATTTATTCATTTCTAAACACGGCGGCAAAATATTAATCATATCAGATGGGGAGTCAAAATATCTGCTAATCACAGTTTAAAGCAATACGTCAGATAGAGTAATTCTGTAAAGCAAATCGTGTGAATATTCCTACTGCAATTGCAAGACATCAAAGTATATTTTTATCAAGTTTCTGTACTCTTTAGCCGTTTATTAATGCTTTACAAACCATCAAATGAGACTTTGGAGCGCACTATTAAGCTCCCTGCAATGCTTAGTGAGCGTGAGTGTATGATGTGAGTGTACGCTATGTGCGCAAGAATGTGTATGGAAACGGTAACAAAGGACTGTAGAAATAGTGAACGTCAGAGTGGAGAGTATGTAAACACTTGTATATACTTATTCCCTTGTACATTTGTTTGAAGAAAAAAAACGTTGATTGAAAACAAAAATATCATCATATATATTGTTGAACAGTATTCATATATTGGTTGATGCATTTTTAATTGTATTTCTATGAATGTTCAAAACATATTTTTTCATCTTGTTTAAGGTTAAGAAAGCTTTATTATCAAAAAAAAATATGTAAATATATTCATTCACTTTGAGAAAAGCAAATTAAATATTGTTAATTATATTTTCAAAATTAAAGTGAATGGAATTGTCCACAGTAAATTACTTCGTCTGGAAATAACAATCTACGTATATGAGTGTGAATGTTATTTCATTTCAGTAACGTACAAGCTATTTTGTTAAATTCAATGGGGTCTATATGTTTCATAACGTCAACATTTATTAGATAGAAAAACTTTTCTTTACAACAAAAAAAAATACAATGTAATAGATAATCTTTTAAAAATTCATAGTGGATTATGTCCCCTTGTTAAACATTAGGTGACCGTTCATGTGATATGGTATGCTAACAGTGTTATTTCTTTTCTATATTCAGGGATAGTCTTTATCTGGCAGGCATATTTAAGCAATATTGATAAACCATATTTGTTAACTCAAAACAGTATAAATACCTGGTAAATTTACGACTTGTAATGTATAATGTTTCGCCTTGAACCCGACTTTTATAAACGTTTCATTGATATTAAAGTTGTCACAACATATTTGGCTTGACTTGTCTATTATGATTCCGATGTGTGTTGATCATAATTATGTTTGTTTGTTATTTAACGTCCTCGTAACAGTCAGGATCATATAAAGACGTTTGCTTTAGGAAAAAGAGAAAGTAAGGTAAAGGACAAAGATAAATTCCAATTGTTGCCATGGAAACTGCAGATTAATATTGGTTCTGCAACGTCCCCTACGCAGAAGAATAAAAACTATTTTGCAGGGTTGACCCACAGTAGTCGCCCCTTACGTACAGTACGTACGTAGCAGGCCTTTTTATCTCCAAACATGCATGAGTGATCAATCATAGTAGCCTTGGTGCTTTTAAGAAACAAATAATCTATACCTCAATCTCGTGACGATAGCAGTGCTCACAACACTTGTTGTTTAAAGAACATTAATGTACATTTCTAATGTAAATTCTTTTGAAAGTAATTGAACTTTCTGTGACCGTTAACATTTGCATATACACCAAGCCTCGTCAAGTGTCTACCACTAATCCGATTATCATCCGGTCTTTGCCTTGTAGGACAGTTTTCTCCTAAGATTTCGCCCAGCTGTGTCCTAATCCAGCTTCTCTAGCTGATAACAAAGACGACAGGTTAGACAATGCTCCACT